AGCAGGGGAGGGGGGGTACGCATGCTGGAAAGACGAGAGTTAGAAGGGATCACCTAGCTCCTCTCCCTCTGCATGCCCACACTCTGAACTTTCCTCTGCCTTCTCAAGCTTGCTGTTCCCCTTAAACTCCTCCTTGTATCAACCTCACCTACACGGGCTCAGGTTAATCTCTGGCATAAATCTGAGTTTTGCTATCTTTAATCTCACCCCAGACCATGGAGTCAAGTTATTTTTAATTTCAGTACTGAAATGCCAGGCAAAGATTTGGCTTATAACTAGAAGGAAAAATCCAGGTTGCAACAGTAAGTCCAAGAGGTCTGCAATTTGTTTTCCATCAAATGAGTAACTTCGTTTCATAGAGAGGTGCGAATTGTTCAGCAGTCATGTTTCGCATACACCTTGACACAGATTAATTGGAGAACAAGACCACAACGTTACTTTGACACCAAGTGGGTTGGCGTTCTGGACAGATGAACCTAGTGTACTGGGCTTTGCTTTTTGGTTTGAAGAATTTTTATAACTAGTGAAAACAGAACAAAATGCTCTGTTAGAAACCTAGAGAATGCTGTAAATACTTGAAGAGTGAAAGCATTTGCCAGCTTCTTCATTGTAGAAGCAGAGGGGCCAGGGCTGGGAGCAAACTGTAGGGGCCTGGCATCTTCCCTTCCATAGTAAAACTTAATTTGGCTCCCTCCAGGGTCCCTGTCATGATCAGGTATGAGACTAGCTTGACTATGAAGTCTGTTTGTCCAAGGAGCTTCGATCCCAAATTGCACTCATCCCTCCCCTCTTTGTTTATCCATCAGGTCCTGCACATCGTGGCCCTGTAGGATGGCACTACGGTCCTTTCCCACTAGGTTCTTCATCCAGGTCCCCCACGCATTCAAGGGTTGTTGCCGTTACATCAAATGAGCACTTTTGCAGAGTGATGTTTTCGTGGATAAGATTTTTGCACTACACATCGTGTGGACCACCTTGAAGTCTAATACAAGCAATTATTACTTCAGAAGAGTGATACAAAAGGAATTTACCACTTAAGGCCTTTTTGTGATACCTAACAGCTGTTCACCAGACCCACCAGAGTTAACGGATTTACAAAAAAAACCACAAAAAAACCCTAGACCGTGTCAAAGGCCCCTCTTTGACAGCAATCCAGAGCTGAGGAATATTACAGCCATTCCAATGGGAGCAGTGGGTGTGGTGATGCTGATACCTGTTTTGGGTCCATATGAACCTGATGGGGCAGCACTAATGGGGCAAAGCAGGCAACACCTTCACAGTGATTGCAATTAGTATAGGCTTCAGAAACAATACCCTGTTTCATCTGAGATTTGCAAAATAGCAGAAAGGATCAGCGCAGTAATACTACAAAAGTAAACTGAAAGGCCAACTGTGATGTCACCTCTTCCAGACTGACCAAGAACCTGCAGGATGATTTGGATGTGCTCTAAATCCATGGAATGAGGGAAGCAAAGGAAAGCGTAGGGCAGGAAATTTCTCCAGGGCTAGATTTCTGAAGACACAGAGCCATCTCTCAAAAGAAGGGGAAGAGACCCTTTTTGTACAAAGCACAGATATTCTCAACTGCCCCCCCCCAGTGAGATGATGATACGGGGGCTTTTCCAGTTCCAGTTCATAAGGCTTCTGGAAACAAAGGTAGGTTTGGGAAGCACTGTTACAAGAAAGACTATATATCAAGTAGCACTGGTGGTAGGCTTGCATTTGATGACGTGATCTGCCTGAGCAAAATACCCTCGTTACTGACAGGCCAAATGTATCCATGTTTTGAGCTTAGAGTTCTTTGCCTTTGTGAAACGTTGCTAACAGTCCTTTGACACTTGAATGTTTTTCTCAACCAGATTGAGATGAGCTCTTGTTTTACAAACAACTAATCCTACATCAGTCCTAGCAACAAGTGCCATGGCAAACTTCACAACAGAGATGGATGGAAGACCTCATATTCCATCAGTGACTTTTCTCAAGTCAGTCTTAGTAATTATTTGTCTGAATTTCACATTGATTACTGGACTACAGCAGAGCTTCAGATTCTCCACTGAACTCCTCTAAGCTCCTCTAGGGAGGTTGGGCTGCTGTTTTATCCAGTTTTCTCTTACCTTCAGTGCAACTTGGTTTTGACTCATACCAGCCCATATGAAGTAAGGAATCTGTGCTGACAAAGTCCCACAGCCCTTACTTCAGAGTGGGACGATGTTTGGCATGCTTTCATTTCTAGTTTGGGAAAGTGTGTTTGAACAAGAACAAAGTCACTGAAAATGCAGAACTTGGACTTAATCAGCAGGAGTGCAAACTCTACTTCACAGTTTCATCACCCCCTTACCTGTGCTGTGCCTCTGTGCCTGATTAGGGAAGGGGAAGCTCCTACTTGAGGAGCTAATGATGCCTCATGAGTGCTGAGGTTGTTAAAGCACTTTGCAATTGTTGCAAAGAAAGCAGCACAGATGTGCAGAATTATCAGTGCAGCGTAATTCCCCACTCATCACTAAATCAGCTCCAGGACTAGGGGGACTAAGATATGTGAGACTGAGATACTGGCGGCTTCTTTCACTACTCACGAGCTCAAGACGGACTACTGAATAAATGTTAGAAGTTAAAAAACTCTTCAGCCAAAAAAAAAAAGCCACGTAAGTGTAGCTGAATGTAAAGAATGGGAATGCTGTTTTGAGTTGCCGTCCTTAATGTCAGTCTGGAAACAGCTAAATTCATTTTTCTCTAGGAAGTGTCTGAAGAAAACTTAGTTGTTCCCATTAGGGACACTGAAACATCTGCAAATGGGGATTCTTGGACTACCTTGTAAATGCAGAAGGGCCGGGGCTAGAGAATAGGAATGGAACACAGAGATGAGATTTCTTTAAATTGTGCCCTAGTGTCAAGTGCACAAATGGGCTGAAGTAAAAAGTAGCAGAGTTTCTGCAAGCCCTTGAAATATTTTTCAACTGAGACAGCAGCAGTGGAAACCATTTCACAGTGGCTTCTAAGCTCTAGCGAGTGTTTTATTACACGCTGGGAAAAGAAATGTTTTCCAAGAATGGATCGTGGCAGGACCAACATTTCTTGAAGGAAGCAGCGTGCATAGAAGGTGGTCAGTATGTCTTGCTGATGGTCTCAGTTCTTTGAAACAAAAGTTTGCATACCATAAATAAGTCATTTTCAGAAGTATGTGTGAATGAAAATTCAATTCA